ATATTATACATGAGATAGTATTATATATGAGATCGTATTATACATGAATATATACGGTAACTGCTTTTTCATCAAAAATAGCAAAAACCATCTTAGCAGCCAGTTTTAAACTTAATTTAATTCCTGGAAATCCTAGAATGACCTAAAATTTGGAGTTTTAGGACCCACAGTGGGGTCTTAAGCCCAATTCACTGTAGATAAAACGTTAAAGTGGCTGTGACATAAAATTTTTGTAAGAAATATGAATGCGTTTTTGGAAAGACATGATTAATATATTAAAAAAGAAATTTCACGTTGCTCAGAAAGACAGTTGTTGAAATATTTGCATGTGAAGTAACAGGAAGTGATGTCACAGGATAAAAATGCATGTGAATATTTAAAAAAATAACTGTTACCAATTATTGTAATATTTGAAATGAATTGCAGTCATCCTACTTACAAAATGTTAACATTTTTAAGACTTCTGAAAGAYTGATTTAAGACATTTTAAGACTAATTAAGGCCTTGTTTTTGGATTGATGAATTCAAGGGTTATTAAGACTTTTTAAGGATCTGCAGGAACCCTGTACTTGTGGCAGCCATCTTGAACCAGATTAACTCCAAAAGTTCATCAGTTGTAGATAAATCCAACCATTACTTTGTCTTTCATTTGTCCACTGGTTCATGAGATATTTTGCTAACAGACATGAATAGAGTGACTGATCAAAAACATTGTTTTTTAGAGCTCCAATCGCTGTGTTTCTGTATGAGAATGAGAAGAACGCGACACCTGGTGAGTATTTGTACACGTTTCTAAACACACAGCTGCTTCGCTACAAGTATTTCCAGCATCCATGTTGTTATTTTTTTAGAAGCGGAGCAGATTCCTGGGATTTATGGAAACGTTTTCCCGTCTCTGTCGATTGAAGGTAAATCCTGAGTTTAATGAATCTCTCAGTAAAACTGTCAGAGTGAATCAAACTGCTGCTTTATTATTAAACAGATGATGATTACGAAAACGCTGCGTTCCTGGAAGAACAAATGGATGGTAAGTTTATAAAAATGACTTTTTATTGTGTTGGTTTTGGGGTAAACTGTCAAAGAATTAAAAAAAACAAAATCTAATGGGTGTAATTTAATATGGCTTTAAAACATTTATCTTAAGTAGAACTTTATTATTTATTATAATTGTAATTTTGAGCATCTTTGGACTGTAGATAAAGACAATACCTGATAAAATAATTAATTGAATTAGAATTACAGCAATTTTGTAACCTTTTTTACATTTAATGAGCATTTTTATATAACACTCCCATGTTTTTATATTTTTATTAACAGATGAGCCGGATTACGTGAACGAAAACGGAGACTGCGCCTGAACGCACCACCACCTACAGATCTGTTTACTTTATTTGTTTTAAAAGTTTTGTTAACATTTTTGAAACTTATGATCAGCTGTGTGTAAATATTTAAGCTTGTAAAAATCAAGGCTGCCACCTGCTGGTGAAATAAATCAATTTAATTCAGTTTATTTAGTTACTTTTCAACAGAAATCACCTCTGAGCAAAAACAATTAAAAAGTGAAAATAAATGGAGAGAAGTTTGATATTTTTAACTCCAGAAAAGCTGCGTGTTTTTAAAGAGGAGACGTTCAGACACAGACAGCTTTATTATCATTTTATAATCAGATTAAACAGAGCTGACAGACAAAAGCAACACCTACAAACTCACCACAACAGCTTCTACATTAGCTCTACATATACAGTATAAACCTTGTGGCGGTGCAGAGAAACCACACATTCAGGGGCCAACTCAGAGGATTTATGTTTTTCCCTACAGGAAGCAGAGGCCTTAATGTCTGCTGGATAACTGSAACATCATGTTTAAGCAACAGAACTTCACCTTCAACCTCATAAAGTTTGGTCTGTTTGTCTTTAAAAGGTCAAAAATGAAAACAAAGGGCTTCCACTGCCAGTAGTTTAGCTGATGTAAGGCGTTAATGAGGGAAACTGCGAGTTTGTGTCACTTCTGGGATGTTTCAGGAGTAAACAGGAACAGTGCAGGAGCTACCCAACTCTCTCTCTCTCWCACACACACCGACACACAGCCCAGCTGCTGAGGTTCAGACACTGCTGAGGGCGTCGACACCGGGCAGGACTTTACCTGCAGACAGAGAACACATCATCATCATCATCATCATCATCACGTGGGCGTGCATCAAGCCGTCTTTCTACCTTCTAGCAGCTCCAGACTGGCTCCGCCTCCAGTGCTGACGTGGCTGACTTTATCTTCTGTGTTCCACTTGGCRCAACAGGTCGCAGTGTCGCCCCCACCTGGACGGAAACGTTTACAAAAAAAAAGTCTCAAAAGACTAAAAAATAAAATAATCCAATGATTATCTTCACTCAGGCTATTTTACGAACATTGGTCACATGACTACATCACTCTGGCAGCGACTCCACTGGTTTAAATCAGTGAAGGTTTAGCTGTGTTTGAACTCTTAAAAATTCAACAAAACTAAACTAAACTCCACCGGGGGGGGGGGGACCATAAAACTACAGTACTTGTAACAGTGACTCAGGAAACATGGAAGAGTATTTTGTCATCTTTACCAAGTTAAGATACTAACATCTAGATTCAAGCAATGGGATCATCTGAATTTGACATAAAAATAAAAAAGTGCAACCATGGCTTAGAAATCTGCCCCAAACTTTCATCAGAGGTAAAATATCAACACTGGACCACCTGGATCTTATTAAACCTTATTGTTTTGACTGTAGCCTGCTGCTAGCTTTACTCGTAGCATCTATCCTAGCCTCATACTGCGTTCTACTGCAGTCTGTCACACATAATAATAACGTTTTATTTACACAAATTTAAAAATCACMTTTAAGTTTCTTTAAATGACACAGAACGTTGGCTCGAGTGATAAAAACATTCACATTTGTTTTATCCAGTAGTGGACAGCGCTAATCCAAAAATTAGCTCCACATTTTCTAAAGCACTTATGAAAATATTTAGGTCCGGAAGCTAATTTTAAAGCGCAAGTTCAATTTGACACTTACTAGCTGACAATAATTCATGTACAATATATGTACAACACTGCCAACTAGTGGTGTATGAACTCTTTTACAACTTAATCCTACAACCACTGATTACTGGGGATGTGATTTCCTGAAACAGACCTTTAGCTCCTGGTGTAAAAATTAAAAAGTTGTTGAGGATTGCTAGTTCGGCTGCTTCTTTGTCTTTTTCTTTTGTTTGTTGTAGATTTTTCATTAAAGTAATTTTAAAAATGTTTATTGGAAAACTGAAGCGATGCATTCTGGGTACATGACAAATTTGATTTGTGATGGGAAACGAAAGCACGGAGTACAGGAAACTATCCTCCCTTCAAAATAAGAGCTTGGATTTTAAAGTTTTCCATGTAGTTGCTCCAGTTGACCACTAGATGTCAGTCTAACCCCGTTGGCGGATTGCTTCGACCAATTACGTCAAGTATTGTATACCTTCACAATAAGAGTGTTTATCTGGGAGGGGTGCTGTTGGATAGATCACATGTGTTGTGATTCATTGACAGTCATACCTTCTGCTGTTCAACATAATGATGTCTGGTAGATAATTAGTTATTAGCATCACTGCATTTTAATTTTAGAAAGCACAAATCTGCTTATGAATTAAAAAAATTAGTAAGACCGCTAAAGCGCAAATGAAATATTTAGGTCCGCAATTAGTGGATTTGTGCTTTAGCGGACTGGTGCCCACCACTGGTTTTATCTTATGGGGGATTTTGCATTGAGTTCCATTAATTTACCTATAGCTTAACCCTTAGTCCTAAGCTTTAAGACTAAACCCTGAGGTTGATAAAACCAGGAGTTAACTGGTTTATTCCACCGTGGTGTTCCTCTCACCGATGATGGTCACGCAGCCYGACTTGGTCACCTCCACCACTTTGTCCATCAGGTTCTTCGTCCCCTTGGCGAAGTTGTCCCACTCGAACACGCCGACGGGACCGTTCCACACGATCTGCTTGGCCCGGCCCACCGCCTCGGCGTAGGCCTTCGAGCTCTCCGGTCCACAGTCTAGACCCTGCGGGAGACCGGCGAGTCAGGTTTAATCAAGTCTGACTAAAACCAGTAAAGCCATTAAGGTCCTCACCATCCACCCGGCTGGGATGCCCTCAGCTACGGTGGCGGTGCCGGTGGCGGCGTGCTCGTCAAACTTGTCGGCGGTGATGAAGTCGACGGGCAGCGTGATCTTCACGCCATTCTTCTCAGCTTTGGCCATCAGGTCTTTGACGATGGCGGCGCCCTCCTCGTCGAACAGAGAGTTCCCGATCTGACAGGAAGTCGAGAAAATAAAAGCTTTGTTTTATAAAAAGACAACAGGAGTTTTAACAAACTACAATTTAATCTAACTAAAAGATGTTTTGTTTATGACAAACATTTACAACCCAGACAAAAAATTAAGTCAGCCCTTATCAGGAGGTCAGATTTCAAAATAAAACAAAATTTAAAACACGATAAAGTCTGATTTTCTTTAACATTTCTCAACTCCTGTGTGGAAGCATTTCTGTAAAAAACAACGGTAAAGGTTGCTAAACTCTTCTTCCTTTTTCTTTTTTTTTATTGCTTAATGAACACGTGCTTAAAAACAAAAAAAAAGGAAAAAAGTTTTCCCAAGACTGAGTTCATTGTTTGAGTTCTTGAACGAAGCAAATAAAACTGAACTTCTGTGTGACTCGATTCTTTCAAACTGTTGTGAAAGAGGTCAAACTGAGGTTCTGAATTCCTGCTGCGGACAAAGATAAGGGCTAAACATTTAACATTAAACATCTCAATAAAACCCTGAATGTTAAAACTAAATTTAGTACTTCTTTTTCAACACTTGTCAAACATTAAAAATGTCTTTTTGTTTACTATAATTAAAAAAACAAGACAAAATGAAGAATTTGAGTCGAGGTCTTCCTCACCTCCATGTTGTTGAGGACTTTGAGGAAGGTGAAGGCCATCCCGCCGCCGATGATCATCTCGTCGACCTTATCCAGCATGTTGTTGATCAGCTGGATCTTATCTTTCACCTTCGCTCTGAAACAATGATGCGACAGAAAAAATGTTGTTACGGAGCTGCAGACCTGCTGTGATGTCACAGTCTGACAGCTCACCCTCCCAGGATGGCCAGGAAGGGTCTCTGGGGTTTCTCCAGGGCCATGGCGAAGTAGTCCAGCTCCTTCTTCATGAGGAAACCTGCTGCCTTCTGAGGCAGGTTCACTCCCACCATGGAGCTGCAGGATCAAACAGGAGGTTCAGGGTCGGCTTTTCAGCCCAGACACAACCAACAACTGTGTTTTTAACATTTTACACTAATAAAAATCATTAAAATAGAAATATTTCCAACATAAATGACTTCTATGGAATCAAGGTGGAAGTGAAGTGTCTGTTTCAGGTTTCACCAAGGACAGCTGGAGCTCAGAAACCAGGTGACCGTGTGATCGGCTGGAGAAGCTAACGGCTAACGCTAAACGGTCAAGACT